CCCTCTGCCTTTAAACGTTCAATGACGAACATACTGTATCCATGCGCACGAGGCAGGAGAGCATCAAGTTTACACGCTGCATCTGACTTAAGAGAGAAGGGGGTGAACATCAGGCATCACGATGCACTGGCTGCTGATAGGACGACACATTCTGATGGGCTAAAAAGACATTTTTTTCCCCCACTCTCTCTTCTACAGAACCCACACCTGTAACGGTCAATGAACAGTCACGTCTGATGGAATCAAACTGCCTTCGGGTGATCCGGTTTAATTAATTCTCACCCACTTACACTGGCTTTCTAAAAGGGGGAGGGGGTGGGGGTGAGTTACGAAGGAGGAGGAGGGGAGTTGGGGGGGTGTGATGAAAGATTCATGAGCAGTGGTGATGTTAGAATGAGGATAGGGGTTCTATGTCAATGTTAGTGAAAGGGATGCTGTGACCACATGATTCCCCAAATAAATATGCATGAGAACCACATACATATGCATCACAATGCACATTATTCAGAGGAACGAGTATGAGGAACAGCATATAGTGGGGAGAGTGCCCTCATTGCTTTGCTTATTGTTTCACTGAGCAACGGGTAATTCCCTATTTTGACAACGTACTGGAGCACCACTGTTGACATGGCTCCAGGCCTTCAGTTCTAACAAGCTGCAGATTGGAAACCAGGCTGAATCATTGTCAATGTTTAGTGCATGTAAAACTATGCAGCTGTGGTGAAATGAAGTACAGAGATGAGGAAAGAAGGAAACTGGAGACTGACTGAGTGGGAAGGGAAGAGGAAGAAAAAAAAAATGAGAAGGGGGAACGAGCAGGAAGAGGAAGAGTGGTAAAGCAGAATACTGATTAGTGGTGTGTGCGAGAAAAGGGGGGGGGGAGGAGAGGTAGGGCAGAAGCTGCACTCTGCAGGTGAATTCTGAGCCTTGTGGGGTCTCGCTCTCCCTTTCTTTCTGTCTGCAAAACGATGCTCGTGTAACCGGCAGGAAGAGAAATGAACAGATATGGGCTGGATGGGAAGAGATGAGGAACTAGATAGAGAGGGAGTGTGGAGAATAGCAAGATAATTTAAATATGGTAGTAGTGGAGGGGGAGAATCACTTACACTTGCAGAATAAAAATGACGCAAGGGATCAGACAATGTGTGCAGAGACGTTCCCTGGACATCAAAGTGGCATCCCCACAGTCCCTCCCTTCTGCTTCTGCTCTCACTATCTGGCTCTTCTTTTTCTCCCTCCGACTGCTGCATTGGAGAGCAGATTTCTTTTATTATTATTTTTTTAATTAAAGCAGGGGAGGGAGCTTGAGATGATACTGTACAATGTGAGAAAAGAGGGAATCTGAAGCGAGGAGTTGTGAAATATAGCCTTAGGGTGAAACTGTGGGGGCAGAGGGGGGTGAAATTAGCAGAAGAACACGAGCTGCCCTGAGATTTTTACTCCCAGTGACGTACTACTTTTTCATACTTAATTCATGACACCCCTGTGAGAGCATTGATGGCTGGTTCTGGCATTTGTGTGTGTGTAGGCGTACGGACCAACGCTACCTTTGATACTGTATGACTTATTAATGTTTGGTTAATTAGTTTGTATAACTCATCACATCGTCACATCTCCCTTCTTGATAACTTTATGGACTGAGAGATTTGGGCCTCGGGATTTAATGACCGTGTGGAGGGAGATGGTGAAGAAATAGCTTGTAGAAAACCTAAATCGAAATTATTAATATAGTTAAATCATAAGTGGGATATTCAATCAACATTCATCAAATAAGTAATCAAGTTAGTAAACTGGTTACTATAACGTTACAGGGATACTGCAATTCTTGTTCTGATTCTGCAAATACTATACAATGTTTATGGAGTTCATAATGTTCAATTTTGGAACCAGGTTTCGGTGTTGTATTGGGTTTTTGTTTTACTGTAAGGTGTATTTGTTATTTTGTCCAGCCCATGGATATCCCGAACACAAAGTAATCCATTTGACTCAGGTGAAGAGACATCTGCCCTGGACATACTGTTGACATGAAAAGCTAAGCTACAGGCTTAAGAGCTCCATAGGATGAACTTCCTGTCAGTCACATACTGTAGGGTCATTGACATACTGTCCACGGACAGTATTTTTCTGTCAACCCCACAAGTGATGCCCCTCTTTATAATAATGCCTGTACAAAGTGTTTGTTCATCAATCCATCCTGTGTAACTCTTGCTCTTCATCCCGTAGAAATGTACCTCCTCTTTGTCGCTCTCACTAAACAAGTGAATCATCGCTGTCACTCCCTCCCTCTTCCGTTAACTGCAGCTTTCTCGCTCGTACACGCACACATGGAAAATCAGCCATCAGTAGCCAATCAAGCAACACCACCTATGAGAAGGAGAGAAGTATAGTGAGAGACGCAGAATAAAAGAAAATAGGAAAGATATTGCAAAGATAGGAACATGTTGAGAACGCATTATCGTTGATCATATCATATACCGTTTACACCTTTGTCTTATTTACAAGTCATTTTTTGATGGGTGCTTACCTTACATCTTCTTAGCTTACATCCTCCAAAAATGTACAGCAAAACAAATTTCACAAAGTTCAGTTTATGTTTAACTGTCCTGTAAAGACATCATGTTGATTATATTGTAAAAAAAAAAAAACACACACAACTGCTGTAATTTTAATTACAGACAATAATTTCAAAAAGATATTCATGAATGATCATGAATTCTTCTTCTCGGATTGTTTTGTTTGTAATGTTTTAGGGGCCTCAATAGGAAAAAGAATCCTCTATATAACCACTGATATTAATTACTTTTTAAAAGCTGAACAGTGACACACCACATAGATCATACATCATTTTATGTATTCTCTGTTATAAACTTTTGTGCACGACACAATCGGGACTGGTGCAGGTGGATAGAGTGTCACAAGTGGTGGAAGCATTTGTTTGAGGCCGTGACAGTGACCGATTGGGTCGGCGAGGAAAGGATGGAGGTGACATTCAGAGTGAAACACAGAGAAAGAGTAAGAGAGGGAGAGAGGCCGCAAGGAGTATCCTCAAAGTTTTGGTTCATGCGTTTCTATTGGCTGAATCATCATCCCAAACTGCCTGCTTCTGGCAGCAGACTCTGCAACTGTGTGTGAAACTGATGCTCGGGGCACAATAATCTGTTATGCGGGTCATATTGCTCCATTACTGCATAAACTATTGAACTCGATGATTCTAGTGAGTTCTAGATTCTGACTTAATCATGAGTTTCTCCCAAACAAAAATTGTCTTTAATATCCAAAAGAGAGACACCTGAATTAGGCCATAAAGAGACCAGAGACCTTTCCAAAAGCAGACAATGTGACTCGTTAAACACAGGTGTAACTGAGGATGTTAATACGCTATTAATAAGCCACTCTCAGCGCTTACTGTGACAAGCAGAAATGAGTGCAGTGAGAAGATTCTAAACATACCAAGTCAAAGAGTTTAGAAAAGTCTGACTGAAATTGGCTCAACAATCTCCACTCACTTGTTCTAAAGCTTCCAATCATGTGCAATATTACTTCTCTATTTTGTTAGACTTATTTTACTAAATTAATCTTACTTTACTGTTGTTCTAATGTGCCCTGGTGTTAACACTACCTCTTTTTACTCTTGTTCTTATTCTTATGTTGCTGTAATACTTTTTTATTGTAGTTTACTTATTTTAGTCAATGTATCTTGCTCCTATTGCTATTCTTCTTCATTATTCTAAACCCTTTCAGGACCTCTAATCCACCTTTCAAAGTTTAGGTTCATTCTTGACCTAATGACCAAACGCTCTCCCCACTCAAGGCCCACCACCTCAACTTGTTCTAGAGTTTGTACAGCCTTCATTAGCAGATGAAGGTTGTTCATCTATCATCAAACTGTAGATGTTCAGAGTTTCCATTATTCTGATCGCTCAATCACCTATTCTGGAGCTTCTTTTCACCAGCTTCTATATCACCTAAATACATTACCAAAATGTCTCCAAAGAGCACGAGAAAACGGTTTTGACTGAAGTAATCATCTGTCTAAAGACAAAATCACTACACATTTGAGTCAGTATTTGTTCTGCACTGCTTCTCACATACATCAGAATTGAACAGGGGCAGTGATCCGATTATACACATGAACATCGGTTTGCTGTTCATTATATAGTCATCAGCCTGCATAAACAGTTTCTAAACAGCTTTCAAAAGTCTGAGAAAGTAACCGTGATGATGTAATCAGGTCAGAGACATTATGGGAATGTATATAGGCTTTGTTGTCAGTCAGGTTATCTCAGCCTGCTGCTTATTCTTTAAATCACTTTTTCACAAACATCCCAACTTGATATAAGTAAAATACTAAATTGTTGTACTACCCCTTTAATTAAAGGCAAGATAGAGCAGATACAGTGGAGTCCCACAGCTCCATGGTGCCTCTCAGAGATGATCCAGGAATGACAAATATGTTTTTGAGCAGAGGAGGGCACATGTTACATAGCAGGTTCAGGGAAGGAAGATAATTACTGATCATCTTGGCACAAACACACAAATGTATACACACAAGTCAAGTAGACAAATAGTTTAAAAAGCCAAACAACAACATGGTCGACATGACTAATAGTTAAGTTCACTTTTCCTGCTTCCTCCTGTGAGATTTGATGTTCATGCCTCTTTTGCGCACATGCTTGTACCCTTCTAAAGCAACTTCCTGGGGGACAATTAATCCACTAGTCTGAAACGAGCTTGACAAAGACAAGCACGACTACGAAGTAGCATAACTACCCAATAAAAAGTCAAAGAATGTCCCCCATCAACCCTACACACTCCTCTCTCCTCTTTTTTTTTCTCTCTCTCTCTCTCTCTCTCTTCCTCCCGCCCCTCACGGAACCCTGAGCATCCTCCTGTTGACTAAATTTCCTCGATGACGTCAGAGTCCACGTACATTATCCATGTAAGTGATGCTTCTGAATGAATGAGTGTCCCCTCCCATCTCCATTACTATACTACGGGATGTCTATAAGAGCAGATCGCCGGGACAGCCCGCTGAATTTCATGACGGCCGTGAGGTGCAGGAGCGAGAAGCGAGATTGAAAGATAAATCAAAATTCGAACTACTTCTGCCGAAAATTACGCACCAGTGCTGACCATGAGGTTAGGTAGGATAAGACTTTGATATGTGAACACATTTGCCGCCATTAAGTTATAATGTGACGAGGTAGGAAATGGTAAAACTGTGCTTTCTTTTTAGTTTTGATCAAGTCTTAACCTAAAGACATCTCAGCTGGGCCGAAGAAGACCAAGAGGTAAGTTGTCCTTTTCATTGTGCCATTTGTTTTTGTCCTATGCACATTTTGATTACAGCAGCGGTCTTGATCCACGTGTGGCAATACATTACAACAAGGATGAGCTTGTTAAATCGGCGTACGGTCACTCTTTTTCCCGTCAGCGAATTTCCCTCTGCGTGCCATGTCGTGAATCTACGGTAGATTACGGCGGCTGGAAGTTACTGCAGTGTGAGTCACTTTGGCGCACATGGGCAGTGACAACTGTAGAAAAGGATGGAATGTCTTGTAGGGTGTAGGCTGCGCCGACTGCATGTTAACCAGGCTGCATCCCCGCAGAAAGTCAATAGCGAATCACGACATGCGGATGATATATATGAATATTTTTCAAGGGTATCAGCCGTTGTGGGACGTGTCCTGTCGGGCTGCTTCTATGACTCATTAATACCTAACACACAGCCAAGAGTGCTTGTAAGAGTTAAGCTGAACCAAAACATAAAACACACAGAATCAACCGTAAGGTATCCGTTAGTGTTACGGTGGAGAGACCTACTTTAAATAAAGTGACCTATTATTATAGCTTCGGCGGGCAGATCGCCTCTCCCTGGTTCGGCAGTTGTTTTTCCCCTTTTTTTTCATGTTGAAATGACATCGTGACGCGTTGTTGAGATGAAGTCAATTTTGCGTCATTCCTGCGCACATGCAGACGTCTCCCGATCACCCGTCAGATGGCTTTAAAGACACAGCGCGAGTCGCCTATATACGTCTACAGCCTGCATTGCAATGTGTCTCTATAGGTGGAGAAGATGAGGGAGGTGAGGGGGTGGGAAGCCCAGGGGGCCTGATGAAAACTCCCCAGTGTAACTCCTGGAGGGGGCTATGACCAGAATTACAATGAGCGTGGTTCAATAACCTCTCCAGCTGTCTCGTGTCCAGCTGCGCAGGGTACATTCACCGCGGAAACAACATGGGGCATAAAAAAAGATCAGCGATACACTTTTGAAGATCTTTCAAAGAGCTGGAATAACCAGCGGCTCCGACAGCCGCGTGGCGCTGTCCATGGCGCTGACCGTGGTCTGGTCTGTGGGTTGACCGTCATGGGGGCTAAATTAAAAAAACAACATTGTGATAAACTAGGAAGCTGCAGTTTCTAATACACAAACATTAACAATAAGCCTTTGTGTCCATGCAGTCAGTGAACCATCCAAGATTTCTCCATACAGAATAATATTACAGACGTCTTAAAAATGTTATATGAGATTTCGTTACCATGGTTCGTTATCAGTTCACGAGTAGGAATATTGTAAACTTTCCAGCCTCTACCGAGCATGTGCATGCCTCTTACTAATAGAGAGGCGCATCTCTAGAGACATTTACGGCTCACGCAGCAGCACTGTTGGTCGGTCAGCAGAAGATTTTCAGGACCATGGACAGCGACAGAGTCCAGATACTTTGTCACAGAGCAAATTGGTCTACTTTCGATGAATAAGAATAACAAAGATCAGATTTTCAAATGTAGTTCAGAGCTGCACTTTGATAACTGTTAATAGAAGTAGGGCCTAACTGGTAGTGACACGGACAAAAATATGACACAGGAACAAGTCCAAGTCTGTGGTAACTTCTGGTGACACTTGAGTGGCAACTTTTGTACTTGCACACTCACATTGCTCCTTTCCCTTTCATCCTCGCCTATTTAGATTCCTTTAGGAGAAAAATAGTTCACATGAAAACACACATATCCCTACAGTCAACACTTTACACAGCTTCAAACGGCCTAAACAGCCAGCATACACATCAGATGAGCGCTTGTGAGTCCTCAAATTTCCGGACTGCTGACGTCAGTCCTGGAGTTACTGAGTTGAGCTTGCATAAGCCACCAGTCCACCCTGCGCTCCCGTCCGTCCATATCCTGTGAATGACTCATAGATAATCGGCATGGAAATCAATACTACAAACACAACAAGTGGGCCATGTAACCATCAGTCTGGCCACACGTAGCCTCAGGCCTCTGGCTGGAAAGGCTATTATGTGTGCCACTGTGAGCTCTGTGTCATGATGTATAATCAGATTTGGCTGATGGCTGTGTAGTGCACCTCAGAGATATGCCATGTGATTATAAAGAGCACTTAAAGTGCTAATTTTCCTTTGCACCTGACATGTATTTCTTTATGAATTGCAATCATAGATGACATTTAATTGTTGAACAAAGGTCAGCATTGTGGTGTCTCTCTCGCTCTGCACACCCCACCTTTCCCTCTGCATGTTGTTACCAGCTTGAATGCTTTCTTATTCTAATTTAATTACATGCTGCTGCTCTGTCCTATCAGTCAGTGCATCAATACCTTGGCTCTAGACTGCTTACTGCTAAAACTCCTCCAAAAGTACAGTAACAGTCTACAGTCATGGCTACTGACGTCTGGCAAACCTCTGCTCTGTGTGCTAAAATTCATCTTTGTGACCGTAAGAGTTAAGACGAGTGGGAAGATGCTGCTGTGCCGTATGAAGTTTCCTTTTCGGAGCCCAGCACTACTGAAGGCTGCATCACCAGCATCATCAAACCAGCGAGGACGTCAGCGGTTACCACAGCCAATCATATTTCTCCCGCTGTCTCCATGGTGACCGTGGCATTAGATTGTTACTGTAGCAACACCACCACTGGTAACAGTCTACAGCCATGGTCGCTAGGGGGCAAAACACACATCTGAACCCGAGTGGTGCAAAAGAGACACAAGACATATGGGAATCAGCAAGAGAGGGAAAGTGAAAGCAAAAAGAAGTGTACCGTTTGAATCACACAAAGAATTTAATTGACAAGAACATATTTTACAGCATTTGATGTGGAGTGTATCATTTACTCGTTCAATTGATCAACAAACCACCTAAATCCTGATGGTAGAAAATACAAGTATATGATGTGTATATATATATATATATATATATATATATATATATATATAGAGAGAGAGAGAGAGAGAGAGAGAGAGAGAGAGAGAGAGATACAAGTAACTGAACTCTATGAACCTGACCATGATTTAAGCACAGAGGCAGAGATCCTTACATTTAAGAGATGTTATGGAAAGGACAACATATTTGAATATCTTTAAAAAAGGCTTCACATATCTGCTGCACATTTGAGACGGAATATTACAGTATACCCACATCCTGGAGGGGGGAAAGACTCCTTGACAGGTAGATGAAAGTCTTGGGTTCTGAAGTTGTACCAGAGCAGCAGTGTCAGGGAAAGGCTACCTGTAAAGTCCTAATGAAAACTAATCCACTCCTGCCAGCAAAAGAGCTCAGGGAACCTCCTGAAACTGCTGTTGATGCTGATATTCACTCCTCATCAGAAATCCATTTTCTTTTTTGTCAAATTCCTTATGAAAGTTGTTGGCTTTAATGATTCCTGAACTAATTTCACCTTTCATGGATATGCATATTTGAATAAGTCCCATGTAATGTCTAATTTCCTATCAATAAATTGATTAATCATTAACATATGAGACTTTTGTATCTTTGTCAGTAATAACGTCATTTTCTCTGCACTGTAAGACTCCACATGCTGAACTCCTTTCCAGCAGCACATAAACTCTTACTGTTCAGAGACCAGGACTCAGAACATGAAACTGGCACCATTGCTGGTTATAATAATCAACTTGACTTTAATTTCCACGATTTACTCGGTAAAGTTTGAAAGATTGCGTCTTGCTTTTTCAGCAGTCTTTGGCAACACAATAATAGACGAGGTACAGTAGATGCTAATATACAATATAAATATACAGTGGAAGAAGTAATGTGTAACAAAGCATGTGTCTGAGTACAGATGTTGAAGAAATACAAAAAAAGTTCAAGTTGTACATTTAGTGGCAACACAACCAGGAGAAATGAAGTAGGTGAATGACATGATATGAAGCTCGAGCAATCCCTCTTTTTTCATGAATTCTTCTTTGTGTGGCCAGCTGCTTAGAAAAGTTCACGGTGATAAGTACTCTACTTATTAAACAGTGGTCTCAAGGGTACAACTATTTTCAGCCCAAGGATCTCATGTGCCAATAACTATTAATATATATACTATATAAAGATGAGGAGATGTTAAGCTGAAGAGGCACAGGTTAAGTACATTTTGATCACACTTATACATATTTCCTACCTCAGTGTTCAAACCTGTTGCTCTCAGAGGTGACATGCATCATAACTTTTATGTCAGAGCATTTACACAAACTGACCTCATCCAGTAACACCAGGGATTCCCTTGTACGTGGTTGTTGGTAGGCAACTCAGCAGGATAAGAGAGAGCGAATCCTAAAGTACCGACATTGTGAAGTCTCCTCTTTTCTACCTGAGAATAAAGAGATGCAAGACTAACATTAACTACCACATTCAGTACCACCGGTACAATCAAATATTGTGTCAGAAAAGAGGTTTCATTGTGTTTGTTAAATATGTCGCAGCACTATCACTTTAAAATCACTTTTAACAAGAACTTCTAATGAGTCTTTAGTAAACAATGAGCTCATGATGACTTCATAATAAACTATCAATTCATTCCTTCATATTTATTAGTATATTTGATTATCCAATTACATCATAAGGATTTCTAACAGATCAGTACATCACTAGTGAATGACACAAGACAGATAGTGGAATGAATAATCATGTTCATAGCACATTTACATTAATATTTCCATCCATATGGCATATTATTAGCCATCACAGCCACACTAATGGTGAGCTGGTAAAGGGACATGTAAGTATGTAGAGCAGTCCATCGGTGTGTCAGTGTCATCCCTGATCTTCCCAAGTAGCTTCAGGATGTACAATAATGTCCGTACAGTATTTAAGAACTGACGTTGACTTGGGTTTGGATAAAATTAAGAAAAGAATAGACAGCAGGGGGTGGTGTATTTCGCAGTGGAATAATTTGCCTAAATCGTGAGGAAACTATGTACACAGAGTGTGGCTGCTTCTGCTTGTTTAAAAAATGTGTCATCTCACTAGAGTTAAGTAGGAATACAGCAAACTAATCATGGTTATGTTGTGTAAAGTGACAGTAAAACACTACATACTGCACCTTTCATTTATCTGAAATCAATGTATTAGTCAAGAAGAAGAATCCCAAGAATTCAGAATAATGTCTCTAAAGTTTATGACCTCACAGTTCTATCAGAAGAAAAACCTTCAAGTAAAGCAACAAAGGAAAATCAGTGGCCCCTTCCCACTAGATTGAGTATGAAGGGGCTACATTAATTACACAGAAACGGAAGATCACAGCATGACAGGAAAACGCAGACAATCCACGGCAGGACAGAGTGGGTTGAGGAAGAAGGTGACTTTGTCACAGCCCTGTGCTGGGGTGGCTCTTGGCTGGATGATCAGGGACAGGCTGACCTCCCACGCAGAATTAGTCATCTCTTTACACCACTTATTATTTTTTTTGCACACTAAAGAATCTTATTCAACCTTCTAGCAACCTTCCTTCACATTGCTGTTCGGCCGCCCAGGCATCTTCTCTCCCACACACACACAGTCAGCAGCCTCTAGACATTATCATTTATTGTTCAAATTTCCACAGGGATGCAGATCAAGGGGTTGTTAAACACATAGCTGCTAATCTCCACCGCGAGGATAGGATGACCCAACTAAATCAAAAGAAGCATTTGCAATTAGACTAGTTTTAACATGAACACAACAGGCTGTTTTGACTAAGTTAACTGTTCTCCCTTCTGTCTAATTCTCCCTTCAAGGGACCTGTTACCTTCACTTGCTGATCTAATTTGCTCTTACATTGCCTACCTGATGCTTCAGAGCAAAATGTGAAAACAAGACACAATACGAAGGCTCAGCAAATCCAGCTTACTCAAGAACAAGCTACTTTTGGAGTTACACATGCTGTAAAATATGTGCAAAAGCAAGGACGAGCTTTCTATTCATCATGCCTCTTCAGAAACATGTTGACTGAAATATCCAGATCATACAGACACACTTTGTACACTGACAACATGCAGCTCTTCTTCCTAGTACCCTCCTCGGGAATTGAAATAACACACGCACTGTCACATGAGACGTCCATTATTATCACCAAAGCCCACTCAAAGCAACCTTTCAAACAGCATGTTCCTCCGCAACCAAGCATAGATTTATTTTTCCTTCATGCATTTCCCTAAGCAGTTTCTCACCCACCTAGTGTCTCGACAGAGGTAAATACCAAAGCTGTCATCTTTTGTTGTCATTTCTGTTAAGTTCTAGTGTAATCCAGGGGAACGGCTGCTTCTCTCCACAGACAGAGAGAAGCAGGCGCTGAAATACAGACTTCTAATCACTCTGTTGTGTATCTTATATACATGCCCTCTACTGACACTGCTTTCCCAGCTCAGACCCAGTCACATGTGGCCTTCTGAAGTCACAGTTTGCCTCAAAGCAACACTGATGGAAAAAAAAAATGTGCAAGAAAAAACTCCTCCTCTTCAGTTTTTTTGTTGTTGTAGTGAGTCATAACATATATTTGAAAAAAAACAAAACGTATGTCTTTTTTCTACCCATGCCAGATTTGTCAGAAAAGTTCAGTAATAATGACAAACATATGGGAAGCAGTTAAATGCTATAGACTATGATAAACAAAGGGTTAGGATAGTGCATTTACTTAGCGAGTGGGTAAATGTAAAGTTGCCTGACATTCAGAAAGGCAACTCTACTGCTGTGACTCAGCCTTTCCCGGGTTAGAGGAATTAAACAACTAAAAACATCTCGGGTGCTTACATACAGTATTTTACCGGCTCGCAGGTAGCAGACAAAGCCACAAAAAAACATTGACCCAGGCAACCAGTTCATATTTACTGAAATATATTATTCCAATTAACATCTCTGGTTGTGTGATGACGTGTGGTTGTCGAGAGGGCATTAGCTGATGGCGTTTGAGTCATATCACAGCTTCCTGTTGCTACGCAAACAAGTGCTGGGGCACCAATGGCAACCAGCTGAACGTGCAGTCAGGGTATATATCGGCATCACCGTGAGCAGTGCATCACCTGAGCACCCCGCTGTGTAAAGCACAGGCTCAAACCCGCCACCTCTGCAGAGTCCTAATAAACATGTCACAAATTCTCGATGGTGAGCTGCGCCCTCTGGACAAGAAACTGGGTGCTGATGGCAGAGGACGTGTGATGGCTAACACGTTCAGAGCAGGCAGGGTGCAGCCCGGGAGAATGAAGGAAATGGGATGCCAAGGAGGATGAAAGAGCGGGGAATCGAATTCCTACCACATCTGGAACGAATTGCATACACCAGTTACAGAGGAACGCTGGGCTCTTGCACCGTGCCAAGCACACTCACTCTCATGCTGCCATGCCCAGCAGAGCCTTTCCACAGTGAAGTGTGCGACTTGAATGCCTTACAGGACTGCAAATAAGCTATGCAAACAGTGCCACCTAGTGGTCACTCAGCTGTCTGCATAGCTGGTACGGAATCTGAGAGAAGAGACTGATTGGGGTTTACATTACTCACAAAGCCGTCTGTCAGCGACTGGCAGAGCAAAAACAGATCAGAGCCTCAGACAAGTAAACACAATATGCTTTGAAATAGATCCACCCCACTGCTCCGAAATTCACTTTTATGGAATTTAGGAGAATTGGTGCAACTTCACCATTTTGTGTTTTCTCTATTTCCCACATGCAGGGTTATGATTTTTTTCCACATTGTGCTCTACCAGGAGCAATTATGACTGTTTTAATAACACTACTGAACAATTTTACAAACAAGAAGACTGCAGCAAGTTGATAAGTAGGTCAGGCTGGGTCACACACTGCATCAGTATGGGACAATGCAACGACTAAACACACCAACAAGACATTCATGTATAGAGCCATGTCTCACTGGCATACTCAGCCATACATTGTACATTACATTTACATAATCTTTATATTTAACTGAGATATTTCACAATACTGTACTCAGAATTGTATAGTGATATCAATGCAGGGGGGACGATGAAACAAAACATTTCAGTTTGAACTTGGTGAAGCATTGTGTGATTACTGTACTGTAATTCTACAACAGCATACTGCTATGATCATCTGATGGGTATTTTACTGGGAAATCAAATCCACGTAAGATTCCATAACTATCTGTGAAGTCAAACCATACAGCCGTGATTTAAAAAAAAAATGTGACAGTAACTTGCTGTGAAATTAATGCAACGAGTGGCCAGTCATTTACTCTAATTGTACAGCCCAATGTTTTAGTGTCTTTTTTATCTTGATCTTGTAAAATTCAAGAGGTTATTCTTAAAGATCGGCCCGCAAAATAAGTATTCTTCGACTTTCTTTGAAGCACGGAATAAAGATGATTATTTATTTCAAGCTTTTATTTAAAGTGTTGAATACCATACGTTTGGTGAAGGCTATTGAGTAGTAAGAGTAGACATTTGTTGATTATATTGCAATTTGTCAACATGGATACATGTTGACAAAGCAACAATCGATGGGATGGTTCCAAATCAATAATCAATGAGAATGAGAGTGAGAAGGAATTAGGATACAACACATTTATACAGACAAAAACTGAATGTATTTAATGTGATCTTCATTACTTTACAGATGTCTATGAATGATCTACCAAAAAGAAACACCATCTATGTTAAACATTATAATGTCACACATTTCAATTCAATTTATTTTTGTGTAGCCCAAAATCCCAAATTACAAATTAGCCTCAGAGGGCTTTACAATATGTACACATTTGACATCCTCTTGTCCCGGAACACTCACATCGGAACAGGAAAAAGTCCCCCAAAAAACCCCTTAACGGGGAAAAAAGAGGAAGAGACCTGTGAAATACTCATAAGAAAATAAAAACATTCTATAGTTGTATGCAGACATTAACGTGTTCAGACTTCTACTATTGTTTATTGCAATGTAAGGGCCCTATTTGACTTTACAATTACAATATTTAAATCCCCTTTAGTTCCATCTTTTGTGTCTAAAATGGTTTAAACAGTTTTTAAAACATATCCTTTTTTTCCGGTGTGCAAATCAGCAATTATTTAATATCTAAAGGCAAAACAAATCCTTAGGTTTGGAGATTAAAAACTGTACATATGGGGAGAGGAGGAAGAGAGGATTTATTAAACTTCTCCCCTCTTTCCCCCGGATAGAGTGCGTCAAAAAATAAATCAAACATCAGCTGCGAGAGAGCTCTGCTGCCCAATAATTTATTCTTGGCCGCATCACACACTGTACTGTAGCAAGTACTGAGCTCTTCAAAATAACAGCCACTAGAGGGGCACGAGAGACGCATCATGAGAAAGACATCTGGCGGGACGGGCTGCATCACACTGGCCTCTGTTGCCAAGGAGATACGATGGTGGAAAGCAGGAGGAGGGTCTGACGAGAGAAGCCTAGTATTTGTAGGCAAATAACAAAACTCACAGAAGATCATCCCCACCGGAGACTATGTGCTGCAATGTGGGGAGAATTCGCAAGTTCTCGGGATCAGCTGGAGCCACAGCGCGCTGCTGTCAATCAGTGTCTGCTGTGGCAGCCGAACAGCAATAGAGGGTTTATCTATTTATTTATTGACAGGCTCCTCCATCAATAAATAATGAGGATGGAGAGCAGTCATGACTACAGTAGCACTGCACTCATCTATAGGAACTCGCACTGTTTTTAAGACCGAGGGCTTAAAAACAAGCCCGTCCCTTCAGCATGGCACCGACTTCATCAAACACACTCACACAAGAAGCAAGCTTCCATTTCAGATTTATTGTTTCAGAGTTTGACTGCACACCAAACTAAAGTTCATCATACAATATATCTATGACTGGAAGCATAGCATGAAGGGAGACATACAATGCTGTACCCAAGGACAGGCTGACTGCGTTTGGCTAGATCCCCCCCCCCACATTAACACTTTCATTCTATTTAACATACTCAAGGTCACCTCACGTGTTCTCTCCATCACAAAAGCCGCGTGTGCATTGCAGAAATGCCCACACGTTTCTGTGCAGGAAGAATTTCTGTCTTAGCACACAGCAGAGAGCGGCTCCTTCATGGCAATGTGACTCGCATAAACATGCATGACCTCAGACACACAAGCTTTTCTCTCGGTTGCTTGCATTGTGAGCTCTGAGCACATGCCAAAAACGTGAATAAGAGAAAATTAATTTGGTTTGATCTGCTGTTCTGTAAAATGAGGGATTATTTATGGCTGGTAATCCATTTGAGGAGCGGCTGAAGGGCTCCTCTGGCTTTAGCTCTGCTCACTGATAGACTGTCTGGACAAATACCCGCTCTCTCCTCTTCTGGCCTGACCTCCCTCCAGCTACTAGCAGAGGCAGAAGCACTGGCAGGCACGAGGCGAGTCAAAGACTGAGCTGGACACGATGTATCATTCCCCTTGACAGCCACAGGGGGCGCACTGGTTCTGCGCACACTGCTTGGTAGGAAGGGCTGGCTCCGAGCCTGGTTTCTGCAGGCAGGCAGAGGGATGGCATTAACACTTGGAATAGTGACAGCACCTACCTCAGACAGATTAGTGGTAATATGAGGCAATGTGGCGTCTGCAGGGTGTATTCACGCTACAGCAATTAACTGCATATCTAACTATCTTTCATACATTTATCAAATAAATGAGAACATTCATGATGCAAATCAAGGTCAATGTCAAAACCACACCCTTTTGAGGGAGACATACAGATACATGGTCTTGTTGTTATTTTGCCACTGGGTGTCAGTGTGGCGACATACTGATAAAAGTAGTCACACACATGCTGAACACTGTGTGGTTCTCCTCTGCCATTCATTCTTTTATCTCCCACCCCTTGCTTACCCGAGTCTGTCTGCGCGTGGGCCGCACAGGTTGGTTGTCAGGGTGGTTGGGCGCCCACGGTCCCAGGCTCTGATTGGAGTAGAAGTCCATGGGGTAGACTTCCTTCCAGTCAACCTCCTGTAGAGCTACAGCTGCCTGAGAGATAGTGAGACGGATAATCACAAATAAGGTAAAAAAAGTGCAATACCAGCCCACTTAAATGGCCGTACACGATCCTGAAGTCCCCCCCCCCCCCCCCCCCCTCGTTATTTAGTACTGTATTTGCAGTTTTTGGGCAAAGCAGCTGCAGGAAACCACACAGTGATGAGAAGTCGCAACAGACAAGACAGGTGTCATAATATTAAGCTTGGATAACAGGCAGAGTTGTCATGTTATCCCTATGCAGCTGCACTGCATGACACAACATCTGTTAGAGGAGAGCAACAGCACAGGCATGACAGTGCAGTGACATAAGTGCAGACTGCTCCGTATGGAAGACAAGTGCCTGTGAATATTGATTCTGAATGAAAGAAGGAGCAGCTGAACGACTGAACAAATGAATAAACAAGCGTGCTGAATGAAGGAACAAATCATTTGATTGTTGCATTTATTGCATTTATTAATTCATCCAACTCCTCATACATCTTTCAGACAAGTTCGACGCCAAGATCCAACTTGAGCGTCATAAAATTTGGGATAATTTCAATGATGTATGGAAATATGATGAGAAAGTCATGTGACGCACTAGAGAATTCAGTTCAAAGGAAACGAGAAAATGCAGCTTGAAAGTGATGAATTCTCTATTCCAGTGGGACATAATTCATCACTGTTAGCTTGTTGCTGTGGTGTGTACCAACACCGACACTACTACTGAAGGTAGTGTACCGGCTGTATCTTCAAATAGAAACAGAAACACAACACTCCCGTAAACATGCTTTTTTTTTTTACACGTTCATGTGAACAAGAAACAATAAAGGATAATTGCAATGGCTGTGGAGATAGAGAGATGATTTTACTTTTTCCAAGGAAGTACCAAAGATTTATCTAATAGAGGTTATTCTTTATATTGTTCCATATTTTACAAGTGTAACACAGGTGTCCACCAAACATAGACCCCTTGTTGCATCAAAAAAAAGAAAAGCAACTTGTCCAAATACTGGAGCTGCACAGGGTGTTTGATATCTATATAAATAAACTAGTTTCCATAAACTGTAATCCACCAAAACACCTCTCCATGGGGTCAAACATGATATTTGAATTGCTGCAGATGATGTAGATTGTAAAGTTTTGGTTTGATAGGACCTTAGCGCTGCATTCAATACTGTTGACAACCTTGTAATCCACAAGCTAAATCTTGAATATTTACGGGACCTTATTTGAGTGGTTCTCTTATTACCTCTCAGATAGGACTTTTTTGGTGTCTACAGCTGAATTTGTGCTGGACACGGTCGCTTTTCCATGTGGTGTTCCCCAGGGATTGATCATGGGACCCATTCTGTTTTCCATATACAGCACATGGTGCCACTAGGGCAGATTATCAGTAGTTTCAGCAACATCTCCTCTCATTGTACGCTGATGACATCCAGTTGTGATTTTCATTTAAACCAGATGAGCCTCATAGCATTTCTGAATTGACTGTTGAAATGCAATTAGGGACCGAATGGCACATCCTGCAGTTAAAAGCAGATAAAACTGAAATCCTGATTACTGCTCCAGATAACCTTCACTCAGCAATCAGGCAAAATCTTGGCACCATATTCTCATCTTCTTGGACTAGTCTGTGTAATCTTCATTTGATTTCTGACCAATCCATGACTTTTGATGCTCACATTAGGACGCTGACTCCTATCAAATTTCTTTTGACTAAGAAACATAGCCAAACTAAGGTCTGCTCCGTCAAAGAAATTGTGATGCTATGTGCGCTCTTATCTCATCCCATTTAGACTACAGTTTACCTGCCTTATGTCTTCATTTCACTGTTTAGAAACTGTACAAAATGCTGCCGCTTGGCTCTTAACACAATCCAACAGATGGTCACATATTACACCTATTTCAACCTTTCTGCACTGGCCTCCAGTACATTTTAGTATTCATTTTCAAATGTTGGTGCTTACTTATATAGCCCTACATGGCCTGGCCCCACAGTACATCATGGACCTTGTGCATCCCCACCCCACGAGCTGAGCTCTTAGGTCCGTTATCCTCCTGCACATTTTAAGGCTCTATGGACTCTAAAACCAGCTAAAAAAAACATTTGTTCAGACAGGCTTTTAGCTACCATGTTTTCTATGTTTTAACTTCTTACTATATGTCTTATGTTTTCATCTTTGTTGTATTTATTTTAATTAGATTTTCTTTTCTTTGACCGCAAAGCACTTTTGTCTTGCTTTCTCTGCTTCACTCTCTGCATAGACGTTTATATAAAAGGCTGATCGTAGCACATATCTGATTTTTACTGTATGTATGTGTCTTTGAGGTACAACAAAATAATAAAGTTCTTCCTTAATATCCAGCTAATAATGTGGATGAAATTCCCTAGCGTTTCTCCTAATTAAACAAACAATCTGTATGCTGGGATAAATCCTTCTTTCCTGTCCCCAAACATCCTTCTGGTGGAGTTTTCTTCATTTTCTTCTCTCCTCGGCCCTGATTCCACCCGGCTCTCATTTCCTTAGCTTTTACCCTCTGCTCTCGTCCTCTCTCGCCTCTCACACCAACTGCCTCTCTCTTTGGAACTAGCTTCTTGCTAATCCCTGCTCTGACAGGAGAGCCAAGTGTGTCTTATTGACTATAAATATAACATGAGACGCACTGAAAATAAATGCTGCTGCCCCCCCCCTCCTCCCCTCTCCTCCACCACTGAGTTCACCCTCCCATCTCGTTCCTCCTCATCTTCATTGTAAATGCCAAAAGCACAGTGCGCTGAGACATACACTCAGAGGCATGAGATGTGGGTGAATAAAGACTCATCACAACCGCACTCGTATAGACACAAGTGCGGCCGCAAATTATTTAAATGCACAGACATTGTTCCCAAATAGCTAGCGGGGAGAGCAAAGTGAGCTCGACCTAAAAAGGCTTAAGAAAACAGATTGCTGCTTTCCTCATTACAGCGGGGTGATTTCAGACTTCACATGAACCAGGATAGACCTCAGTCAGAAAGAAAACAAAACAATCATTGCTTTTTCTCCTCAGGTGAACGCTATCATTATTCTTAATGGCCTTGTTCTGAAATGTATGAGCAGCACAAGCGGTGCACACAGATGTGCAGTCGGAGGAAGACAGCGGCCATTTGAAATCACACTCCAATATCCAAGACAGCAATTCCCCTCGCAGCCATTTCACAAGGTTTATATCAGTAGCATATCTTTGAGGGAAATCATTGAATGAATTAATAGTCGACATCAAATGCTAACCAGCCAAGTCACATAATGGCACATAACTGCCAGCACATCACAAAGTGTCTACACCAGCTGCAGCGGCACACAAACAAACGCTTGCTTTGAAATGGATCTTTATGGGTTGCTGTCCAATCTATCTCTCTCTCTTTAGAAAAACAAGACAGCTGCAGGAGGGGAGGGGTGATGGAGTCTGTGTGCTCCTGTGGCCAGTAGGGGGGGGCTAGTCTTCTGCAGATGCTGTTTTCTGGGCGTGTGTGTGTGTGTTCTGTTGTGTTTTATAGCAGGGATATAGGGAGAGAAAGAAAGAGGGAGGGGAGTAGGCACGATTCCTCATCCCCAGCACAAGCAGGCCTTGATGAGTCCTATACACACTCACAACCCTTACAAACGCTTCCCCATAACATTGTAGTAGTTCCTTTATCTCATGTGCTTCGATGAAGGCTTCAGCAGGACATCTGTCAGGGGGTCTGTGTACTGTGTAGGAAGGTCTGCGTGTTTCTGCGTTTGTGTGTGCAATCCATGAGCCTCCACTGATAAGTGAGTGACAGCTGTGAGCTTGCTGTGAGACTATAAGGTGCATGTTTACCTCATATGGAGACAGCAGGGGCTTGGAGAAGGCTGTGCCCCAATCGATAGAAAGGCGTGGACAAGCGATCTGGATCCACCTGTAGGGAGGAGATGGTACAGATTTGTGCTCAAATGTACATCCGCGACAAGAGTGCAAATGTGTGCGTGTGTAAAACAGAAGCAGTCAGAGAGGGCGAGAGACCGTGGGTCCTATTCGACAGGCAGGGCACATCTGTGACTGCACGCTGCATGTGGATATGTGATGCAATGGGTCGTGCAGGGAACCTCCCTCCACCTGATCTCCAGCATCTGTTGGCGAGATCTGTCCTAATTTGCAAAAGCTCTAAAGACGGCCACGCTACACAGTCTGAATGCAGAGCCCGCCCAGTGAAAGAGGGAGGCTGAAGAGAGAGGGAGGAACATGTGTGTTGGTGGTGGGATGGGGGGGGGGGGGGGGGGGGGG